GATACTTGCGCGGTGCTTGCTGGCAAATGTTGGCAGACAGGGAGAGTGACGTAGGTATAAATATCTTGCTCCGTCAAGATGAGCAGGGAAATGCTTCGACTGCTATACGAGGCTGACGACCTTGGTATCACGCATAGCTTGGACAGCATCGAAGCGAGGGTCAACCGTTCCTCCTCCGATTCGAGGGTCTGTGAAAGGTGTTTGTGGGGATCAGTCCGGATCTTAATTCCTCGTATCGGACTGACAACCAAATCTCCGGTTCTGTCACCCAAGATCGGCGTACGACACTGAAATGTCCGGTACTTACAACAAAATTTGATTTTACTGCACCACGTAGCCATTTGCCTGAGGAGTGCTGGACGATACTGACGTGGATTGTGTGCCACCCGTGTTGGCGATCTGGTGCGACTGGGCTAAGCCATGACAACGGATGTTCCCGCTCCGCAACATGGTTCATCTACACTGTGCAGTACAAATCCACCAGCCCTGCGCAAAACAGCCCCAATGACAAATTTGCTAATAGGCGTCGAAGTCTGCACCGCCTGACTGGGCGATCACTTTCGCATCAGGAATTGTTGACTGCGCTGAGTGTCATCGGGTGCTCTTCTCCCGAGGACTCCGGATGCTAGAATACTTCCCACAGCAAGAACCATTTGCCCCACGGCAATGTCCCACGGATACTGTGTTTGCAAGAAGCCTAGAGGGGCATGATATCATCGAAGTATACAAGGGAACATGATGACATTGACCGTACAACTTAAGTCGATTCGGATTCTCGGTGACCCGAAGGCCAGCTCAGTCGAGAGGGGATAGAGAATATAAGAGGAAGGGCGAAAGGCAATAGAATGGACAAACACACTTCATTCATACTCAGATGCTCACCAGAATGTGACGTACGTAGCCGCGGACATGATCTGAATAAATCAAACACCAATCTTAGATAAGGGTTCAGCACATAAATAAGACTATTAGACAGCGTCGCGATACTCGAAGTTTCGTTTCAAAGCCCCCTATCCTCTAGCGCCCGCCGCAACGTCTTCTGAAATCCAAAGACATGCTCCGGTGATAGCATCGTGTAGTGCGCGCCCGCCACATCATGGAACCGCGGCTCCGACCGCGCGAAATCCTTCCATTTGACCATATGTTCATCGTACCACTGCCGCTTGGACGATGCCACTCCTACAAGCGGGATACAGTAGAAGCAATCGATGCCGGCCACCGACCCTGACGGCTCGTACTCGACTGCCATACTCTGCAGCCCATACGCCAGACATGCCCATTTCAAGAGACCATGCTTTGTCAGTGCGAGCTCTGCCAGCCGGCTCGAGTCGGAATTCGTCCACACGATCTCCAGCGCTTCCTCTTGCAAAATGCTGTCACCAAGTTCCGCCGCCAGGTCATTCGCACGACCTTCGCTCATCAGATCCAAGAAGTAGGCAAGATGAAGCAGACACTGCCGGAAGTCTAGTTGACGCATACGCGACCGGATGTGTGGCGGAAGATTAAAAGAGCCGAGGAAACCTACAGTATCCCCGTGCTGCTCGAGCCGCTTGCTGGTCTCGAAGGCGAGCATGGCACCGTATGAGTAACCGGCGATAGCGTAGGGACCTTGAGGTTGCGTGCGCTTGATTGCGGCATGATAGGTGGCTACTGCCTCACCGATACTATCAAACGGCTGTTCAGACTCGTTGAAGCCCCGCGCTCGGAGCGCGAATACCGGCCGGTCCTGAATATATTTGGTAAGGTTCAGGAACACGAGCACCTCACCCACCCCGGGATGAATCAGCCAGAGCGGTGTCTTGTGACCTTCGTTGTGTAGTACCACCACCGGGTTGTAGATGTGGGGAGCCTCGAGAGTGGCGTTCTGCAGATCTCGGAGGGAGTCCCCGAGGGCTCGGATGGTCTGGTTTCTTAAGAGTGTAATGATTGGGATTTCCTCAGACAGGTCTAAGCGTTCCTCAAGGGCCTTCTTGAGCTTGATCAGCTCGATTGAGGTGACGCCCAAGTCTAGAAATGGGCTTTGTACTCCGAAGTCTTCGTCATCTAGCCCAAGGGTGTCAGTAAAAATGGAGAGGAGAGTAGATTCAAGTTCGTCTCTCGGTGGTACTTTTGTAATGCTTCGGTAGAGCTTGACCATTTTGCTATTCAGCTTCTGGTAGGGTTGATACTCCCCTCTCTCGTAGCTGCCTTTTATCTGCGCCCTCGATAATTTGCCCAGTGCTGTTTTTTGAAGAATGTTCTTCGAAAGTGGAATGATCTGTGGTCGTGCCCCAGTGCACATCATGACTGTCTTGGAAATCTCTTCCGTTGTTTCGACGCGGGCGACCATGTCATCTGCCTGGTATGTGGGTACGTAGACCAGACAGACCTCTTCCGTCTCACCTCCCGGGGGCAGCGAAGAGAAGCAACAGTTATATGTAGGCGTGAGGCCTGTAATATTCGCATCCTCCAGTGCTCTCTCAATGGTTTGAGGGTTGTACTTCAGTCCGTTGACGATCATTGTGTCCTTAGCACGACCGGCCATGACGAGATAGCCATTGCAGTCAAGGAAGCCATGATCGCCCGTTTTGAACCATCCATCGCTTGTGAACGAGTCTGCCGTGGTTATCGGATTGTTGAAGTAGGACTTGAATACCACCGAGCCGGTGACTTCGAGGTTGCCAATCTCCCCTGGCGGGACGCAGGTGTTGGCGGGTGAGCCATCTGTGATCCGAACCTGGATACCCGGCATGCATCGACCAACTGCCGCAAATTCTAGCTTCTGGTCCTGATCATAATCAGGACAACGTGTATTGAAGATGGAGCCAGCACAAGTCTCAGTCATCCCGAATCCCGGCACGATGACATTCGAGGGCGTGCCGTATCGGGCTAGCAGCGTCGAGACATCGACGCAGGTTCTGGTCACATTGGCTTCACCTCCGGACGCGATGTATTGTAGGCAGCTGAGATCCCATTGGGGCGGATCGTGTAGGTTCTCAAGGGCAGCTCGGAGTTTAGCTAGGAAGAAGTTGGGCGCGAATGTGCGGCAGACACGGTGTGTGTCGATCAAGTCAAGGAATGTGGTCGGACTGGCCAAGAGATCCGAGCCAGGAACATGTACCTGATTCATGCGAGCGAGCATTGCTTGCAGATGGATCTCAACCAAGGCTGCGACGTGGTCGAGATGTACCCAGTTCATTAAGCTTTCCCCGGCAAGCGGGATGACAGAAAGCTTGCCGACATTCGCTGCCAGGACCTGACCGTGGCTAAGGCAAACCGCTTTGCAGTTCCCAGTGCTACCGGAGGTGAGTAGCATAACAGCAGTATCTTCTGGCCCAGGATCGATAGCCATGTCTTTCATGAAAGGCGATCCCGATAGATTCAAGGATTCAACGGGCACGGGTTGTATCGCCTCTTGATCACGGAATTCAGGCATCTGGCTCTCTCGAGTCAAGCACAACGGATGCTTCAGCATGACTGATAGATGCTTTAGATGAGCTGTGCGAAGGAAGGGGCTGTTTGGAAGTGCTGTGGACATGACCGGGATACATCCTGCCAACATCACCGCCCAGAACCAGACAATGTTGTCCCAATGGGCAGTGAAGTGCAGAAGAACTGGAGACTGGACAGAGAGATCTCTGGTACCCCCCCGGCGAAGTGCCTGGCTAGCCTGACGTGCCTCATGCAGGAGCTCGTGATAGGTGTAGCTGCTGCGGCACTTGGTTGAGCCCGAGGGGTAACAAATAATCTGACCACTCTCCCTCTCACTAGCCACAGTGTCGAGCAGTTGAACGAGATTTCTGAACGCCATATTGTTGAAATCCGGGCAGGTCCTGACCAAGAAACAGAGCACAGTGTCTTGATAGCGCAAAGACACAAATCTAAAATGATTGTAAGGGAAGTGCCGACTCTCCACGCATATAACGGCACCCCCTTATATCTTTCCGCAGTTTTCAATCCGGGGATCATTGCCTCTCGAATCCCGACCGGCTTAACAACCGGCTTTACAATCAGAGGTCCGTTAGGTCACCTCGGAGTAAGTCAAAGCTTGCGAACCTTACTCTGCTTTCCGGATCTCGATGTCCAAGGAAATGACCGCGCCGTACCATTGACTTGTGAGACCACATGGATATGAGCGAGGTGGCTGAATTGATTATGTGGCAATCTCATCAGGCCGTGCGAGATGTCAACACCATCATCACTCGACGGAGACTTCGGCGTGAGATAGGCTCGGCCGAGAAGAGTCTAGAATTGCAGTCTCCAAGCCAGTGCTGACAATCATCGAGTATCCTAGCTTCGGACATTTCCGGCTTGGGAATGCACGAGGAGACCCGTGGAGCTTTGCAATGTGGGAAATGGATGTCATCATAGAACTGGAACCGCGACTGTAAAGCTGACATGGGTGGTACCTCCGACGTAAGCGTCCCGTTTGACTTCGAGATGAAGAGGCTGTAGAACTTGAACGAGGAGGACTATCACAAAGTCTATTTGAGCTCGTGAAGGAAGAGGAGGGGGGAAGGAACTAGCTTGTTGTGGGCGATGGTGAGTGTTAGTTGTACCGATGGTGTCAAGAGGTAGCTGTGACTTATCTTACCGGGGAGTAAACATTTCGGGGAGGAGCAAATGAGATAGGCCAATAGAATAAGCTTCGAGAATGAAGAGTAAAGCCGATGACGCGCTGGAAAGAACATAAAGGTTGTGCAGCGAATGTCGTTGACGTTAACACTCGAGGACACTGGGAGCAAGGAGGAGGGATGGAAGAGACGGAGGAAATGGAGATTCGGCATCTGGCAGGTTGTGGTTGCCGCCTAAGAAGGAAATGTGCAAGTCCTGGCAGATGACTTTGTTCGCTCTAGTGCTTTGACTCCTAAGCCAACAAAACGGCATTATTGTGATTTGGAACATTGGCCGACTACGACAACGATTGGTGCTAACACAAGAAAACGGTGAATTGAGCCAATCTGATCCTATAATTCGAGCAAAAGATCCTGCAACAAAATCGACCAACAATTCAAACACCACTACATCCTTTCCTCGCCCTGCTTGACCGCAAAGATCAGGGCCTGGTACGGGTCCAACCCGTGATACTGAATGTTCATCAGCTTCAGACCCGCCGACTCCAGTAGATCTGCCCAAGCTCCACGGGTCCGTTCCTGCGCCCCGACGTTCGCCATCATCTGTAGATCCATCGCAGTAGCCATCCAATTTACCCCACTGTTGGGAAGAACCATTTCATCGAGAAGAAGGGTAGATCCGTTGCGCATCGCCTTTGCTGTATTGCGCAGAATTGGTTGACAGCTGCTGTCAGCGAAGTCGTGGAGAACGCCCCGGAAGTAGTAGAATTTGGCACCTATCGCCGGTCAGCAAGCGTGACGCGGGATTGATCGTCTCCGGACCTTACCTATGACAGGCTGTTCCTCGAATATATCGTAATGCATCTTCTCAACCCCTGGAATGGTGGGGGCAGCCTCCATCACCTGAGGCAAGTCTTGAAGGATGAACCGACCGGGAATGTCAGGATCATACTGGAGAACCCGCTGGCATTGATGGCCGGTGCCCCCGCCCACGTCCACAAACAAGACCTCGTCTGTTGCCGTTTTCTTACTGCGAAGAACGGTGGCAAGTCTGGCCCAGTTGGTGGTCTGATTCCTTTGGAAATGCATGTGGTTGTGGAACATGGCGCATTTCTCCGGGTGGGCTTTCAGGAACGCGAACAGATCGCCTTTGCACCCGAATGCGTCATGCAGAGGCAGATTGAGAGAGTCCGTGGGGTTGCTATAGCCGGTTCGCTCGAGGAATGGGGGCATTTTGGCCATCACCGGAAGAATTAGCTCGTAACTTGAAGAGCAATGCCATATTAGCGAAGTGCTTATTCACCGGCGCTGGCGCTCGGTCGAGAGAAGGTGGCAGCCTTACTAGGCGTTAATATAGCTTTCGCCCTTGGGAGTAGCCAAGGCCAGGGTCATTTTACTCGCTGCAAAGACGTCGGGTCCGAGCTCTGTGATCATTCGGACGCTCGCGAGATAGCGCATAATCCGCCCTTTTATACATTAGCTTCCTCATACGATCAATGGAGGTTTCTGTACCAAGCAATATCTCATCAGCAGAAGTCTCTTTGGCCAGCCGATCTAGATGAATGCCCGAATCACTGGAGGCGAGCAGATGAAAGAGACGCAGCCTGACACCAATTCGCGCAGCATATAGCTCGAGGGGCTATCGCGTCGTTAGCATCGCTTCACCAGGGCGTGAATAGACATACGGCAAAGGTGATGCGCTGCACCGCATCTTCGTCAGGCTCGAGGGATATTATGAGATCCCGCAGCTCATTCACCAGCCGGCTGCGATTGTCTTCATCAAGACACTTGGCAAGATCCTTGACATGATCGAGAGCTTCATCCATCTTGTGTTGATTGAGGGGATACTGTGTGCAGTGAGGGGGTTTGTTAGATGTTCGATGTACGGAAGTATGTTGAGATGGTGGGTGATAAGACCACCGTGGTAAAAAAGACAGGGTAGGCTCCTGTTTCGGCATGGATTTAAAGGCAATACAGGCAAGAGAATCGGTGTGTAAAAGAACCAAAGTATATTGGCCTGGAACTATGTGAGCTAGGAGAGTTTCGAATTAACCGATCCACCCATGTGAATTTGTAACAACGCCGTAAAGTGACACCTGATTGCGAAAGCTAAAGAAGAAAGTCGGAGACCATGAATGCACCCAAACTCAACTCATTGATGTCAATGTCATCCATTTCCCTCGGGGCACACTCCGACGACAATTTTCCAAAGTCATCATCATTTACCATCTCCATCTGTCTCATCAACAAAACAATTTTCAACCTTTAAGCCACTTACGTATCAATCACGCTCGTTGTTGCTCTGTACAGTGGTTCTCTATATTTTGGTTCCACCAGAAGCTACTTCAAAAACCTTCTCGGGTTGAACCAGGCCTAGACTCTGACTTCTTCTAGAATTATGACAGAATATTGACTCAAGGTGGCTGGGAAACCGTCATGCGCGTCTGCTCTGTGAATCGGCATGTGATCCGGATCATATGAAATTCATGCGAATGAGTGAAGCAGCAAACTGGACCCTGGCGCAATCCAGCCAGCCACTTGGTCCCTCACGATCGAGGATCGACTACCACAGCAAGGATGACCTCCTAAAAGCGGCAGTATACACACATACTGCTGCTGTCATTCTCGGACTGCACGCGTCAACGATTACCAACATGACAAGCAAATGTTATGAATCAAATAGCCTCTCCGAACGAAACTCCATCCCGTCCCGCTTTTAAGACATCTTCTGGTCCAGAACAGGGGACCCATTTCTCAAGTCTCCATGCCAAAGATTTCTCAGCAATTAAGATCTCACTCAGAATCCGGACGCGGATTCACCATGATCACGCAAGAGGGGCAAGCTGCTCAACTGCCAACTCTCACCAAGGGAGGGACGGCCGCCGCTGATCTCCCCGTCCGCTCGGTATGTCAAGGCAAGACAAGCTCCCCTCAACTAGGAGAGCTTGCAGCTTCCATCAGCACCGCGACCAGAACAATCGCGGAGCATCTTAAGCAACGGGACCTACCGTATCCGTCCTTCGAGGCTAACGGGGGAATCACTCTTCCCCGCGAGCTGCAGCAGGCAAAGGAATCAATCCTAGATTCGGCCTCTGAGCTGCGATACCTGCTCACAGACCCCGTGAGCGCCTTCTTCGAGGGAGCAGTAAGTCCCAGCGCGTTCAGTTCCATTCTTGCGAACCATAGCTGACAGTAAGGTGTAGCCGGTGGGTTTCATGAGTATGATACTGATTCATCGCTTCAACATCGCGAATCTAATCAAGCCGGACATGGAAATGAGCTTTTGCTCGATCGCAGAGCAGACTGGCCTTAAAGAGGGGGTGGTCAAACATGTGCTTCGCCATGCAATGACCCTGCGGGTGTTCCGCGAGTCCCGACGGGGATTTGTGGCCCACACCCCTCGGTCGGTGGTGATGAGAGATGGCGATATAGCAAGCTGGATGGCGTTCTCTATTGACGATCTGACAGGGGCTATTCTTTGTGTAAGAGTTACGGCTATCTCGATGTGAGAATTAGCACTGACTGTCCTTCATTCCAGGCGCCCGATGCGATGCAGAAATGGCCACGATCGGGTGAGCCCAACCAGACGGTAAGCTCCACTTGCGTGTACCGTCTATCGCACTTGTGCAACGACAGGTCGCTAATGACGGTTTCATCATATGCTAGGGTTTCTCCCTCGCCGAGAACACGGATCGAGCGATTTATGAAGTCCTAGACGCAGATCCTGCGCGCGGTGCCCGGATGGCTAATGCCATGAACGTGTGGGCTTCAAGCGAGAGTTATTCGGCCTCGAAAGTAGTTGATTCATATGACTGGAGTCGTCTGGGGTCAGGCACGGTTGTGGATATTGGCGGCTCACGAGGACAGGTTGCGGTGGCAGTGGCCTCGAGGTTTCCAGCGTTGAAGTTCGTGGTGCAGGACCTCGAAAGCACCATAGCTGGAGCCGAGGTAGACTTGCCACCCCAAGTCGCCGACCGCGTGAGCTTTATGGCTCACGACTTTTTTGAAGAGCAGTCAGTTCTTGCTTCGGCATACTTTCTGCGATGGGTCCTGCACAACTGGTCGGACAAGTACTGTATCAAAATTCTCCGTGCAGTGATCCCTGCGCTGCGACCTGGGGCACGGGTCATTGTCAATGAGATCTGCATGCCTGAGCCCGGAGAGGTTCCTTTGTGCAGAGAAAGGTTGGCACGGTATGTTGCACTGATTATCGCCATGGGATTTTAAGCTAATGGGCTGTGACAGGACGATGGGCTTGGGCATGATAGGCCTGTTCAACGCCTATGAGCGAGATATAGAAGACTGGACCCGGCTCTTTGAGCAAGCGGACCCGAGATTTCAATTGCTCGGTTGTCGGCACCTGGAAGGTGCGGAAATGGCTTTGATCGAATTTGAGTGGACCGGATGATCACATTGGTGAACATTATGATCTATTGTGCTTTGCAGGAAAAGATGATAATAGAACGGAAGTTCAGAGTCTTTTATCAAATGCCAGTAGTCAATTTCTATGATTTCCAAAACTTGTAAGGGTTCAACAACTCCACTCCAGCCCAGAACCACCATTGCGGCTGGCCTTCCTTATCACTTTCAACATCCCCAGGAGCGACAGGCATCTCAATAGCCTTTATTGCAAGTGCAGTAGTCAATCCCCGGCTCCCGATCTTCACCCCGGTCGATCCAAATCTATAGACCCAGCTTGTAGGGAAGCCGCCATCCTCACACTGCATGTCCCGCAATGCTCTCTCATCGAGCATATTCGACATCCCAAGCAGCTTACACGCATAGACTCGCATGGCCAGAGAAATAGCGTCGTCAACGGCACCAACTCGCTCATATACTCTTTCTCTCAGGAGAGGCATCAGCCGAGCGCGGAGTGGACTGCTCTTCAGAAAGACCGAGAGCCTGGCTAGAAAGTACAAGAAGGCGTCCGGACTGATGTAGTATCTCGTGCCCTGCAGGTAGGCTCTATGTCGCAGCACGTCCAGCACCCAGTTGAAGGTGGCGAGTAACTCGGATTCTCGGCCGTTCTGGGCGAACAAGCTAAGCACGTTCACACAGACGACTGGGTCGACTCGCGGACGAGTGGGATCAAAATATGTCTTCAGAGGGTTTGTAAGCGGGGAAGATGCAGATGAATTGACGATGATCATACCGGGACTATCCCATCATTGTCCAGAAGCAGCAGAATCTCATCCATCACATCGGCGGCGACGTCTTTATGAATGGGAAGGACCGAGAGCGCTATAGAGGTGGTGTCCAGGTCGTTGGGGAAGGTGCTCGTCGGCGACTGAGGAACCCCTGTTCACGGTCCAACCGTATCAGTAGCTGCAACGCCTTGCTCTGGGAGAATTTGACCAACCGATGAAGTAGTTCCATGTTCGGTCCCAAGGTTCTAGTTCAATCAAGTCTCTAATCCCAGGTTCGTTAGAGACTCCACATGCCATACACAGACGTTGATAGAGAAGCTCACCGGTCGCCCGTCAGCTCGAGAATCAGTAACTGCGCAAAGTTTTCGTGGATCACTGAGTTATTGCTAGTCACAGTGAGGAGCCTCTTTGCATTCGAGCGGAGATACGTCAAGCCCCGAGAGACAGGGTCCCCCATCAGGTTCATGATCCGCTGCTTGAGATCGGTGACGTTCTGGAACACCACGCCGTGCATCCCCACGGACTGCGCGACCAAGACATTCTCCGTTTTGTCGTCCACGAACACGACCTCGTCAGGCCTTAACCCGGCTTCTGTGAGAACAAACCGATAGAATCCAAGATCTGGTTTGCGCATCCCAACGACCCCGGAGAGATAGACATGGTCGAAAACAGGATAGCTGTCCACGATGCGATTGACACAATCCTGTTCCGCATGGGGCGTGTTCGTCATGCCGTACACTTTGAGCCCGGGGTTGCGCTTCCTTATCTCGCTGACAAGCTGAAGTACGGCGTGGTTCAATTCCAGGCTTTGACGGGCCTGTTCCATGGTGGAGGCCATGTCCGCAGCGCTGATGGATAACCGTTCGACAAGCTTCGCATAACATTCTTCTTCGGAATACCTCCCGCACTCGTATTCAAACCATATCTCGGAGGACATGATTTGTCTGAGCTGCGCTGGGGAGAGCGGGCTTTGGGCTGGCGGAGTCCATAAGCATAGAACTCCGGCGAAGTCGAGGATCAGTGCTTTGACGGAGGACATGGTTGTGCGCGAAATCGAGCTAGATTCTTTTCGAGCCCACAAAAAGAATCGGCCACTAAAAAATTTGATCGCGTAGGGAACGATGTAGGCTGCTATATATCGTCATACAGAAGCGTGATGAGGAGTCCAGCTTGGAAGCATTCCCGATTCACGGCGCCGTCTGGAGGGCAAACCCCACAACTACTAATCATAAAGCTCTAGTCTTGGCTGCAGCAAGCTTCTAGGGGGGTTTGGATCAGGCGACGAGGCGCTATGCGACAAAGTAAGAATGGATCTCTGTGGCATATGAAAGGCGCTAAGAAGATGACGAGCACATCCATAGTTGACAAACGAGAGATGATCAGTGAAAACGGCTAGGCGACAATCCATGCAAAAGACTTAGTGTATCTGTCTGCATAAAAATTTCCACCTTACTATAATTTCTGTTTGACCTACTTGGCTATAACCAAACTCGAACACCAGACAATCACAGTCGCATATTGTTTAGTGATCAAGATATGCCTGCCACTGTCAGACAGACCCTTACAATTAAGACCCAAGCAGATGCGCATCAGTTTCGAGTTTGTCTAGACTACCCGTCACGAGGTAATGTACAATTAAGCTAGGTAATCCGACCCGCACGATACGAGCCCCGGACCAA